TCTCTCCCTGCCCCCCCTTCCTCTCCTGCTCCCTTCCTGCCCCCCCCTCCCCCCCACTTCCTCTCTCCTGCTCCTCCCCTTCCTCTCTCCTGCTCCCCCCCCCCCTTCCTCTCTCCTGCTCCCCCCCCCTCTCTCCTGCTCCCCCCCCCCCCCTTCCTCTCTCCTGCTCCCTTCCTGGCCTCCCCCCTCCCTTGCTCTTTCACTTGCTGCTCCTTCCTTGCCCTCCTCCCTTGCTCCCTCATTGCCCCCCTCCCTTGCTCCCTCCTTGCCCCCCTTCTTTTGCTCCTTCATTGCCCCCCTTCTTTTGCTCCTTCATTGCCCCCCTCACTCCCTCCTTGCCCCCTTCTTTTGCTCCCTCATTGCCCCCCTCGCTCCCTCCTTGCCCCCCTTCTTTTGCTCCCTTCTTGCCCCACTCCCTTGCTCCCTCCTTCCCCCCCCCCCACTGGTTTCTCCCTTGTGGTTGCTCCTTCCTCCCCCTTTTCCCATGGTTGCTCCCTTCTCTGTGATTTTCTTATCTCTCCCCTCTCTCTTCCCTATTGCTGCTCCCTCCTCTTCCTCCCAGCATGGTTACTTTCCCTCTCCACCATACTGGCTCCCTCCCACCCCTTTCCCTTCCATTACTCTCTCCTGTCTCCCTCATGTTTGCACCTCTGTTCACCCTCCCCCATCCTTGCTCTCCATCTGCCCCCCTCCCTGCTCCCTCTTTCCACCCCCTAACCTCCCTGCTCTCTTCCTCCCCCTCCCATCTCTGCATGCACACTCCATCCCATTTGGTTTTTGGTAGTTGTAGTTTATTCAAATGATTGTGGCTGACCACAAAGGGTTTGATATAGCTGACAATTATATTGCCAGTAGCAAGGGTTGCCTTCTGATTGCTTATGCCTCTATAGTAAAGGAAATGGCTATTATTATTGTCAGTTTGTTTTGACCTTTGCCTAAGGCAGCTGCTGGCTTGTAGGGAGACACAAAGATGGTAATTGAAGTCTGCTGAATTTTGAAGCAATGTGTCGGCTCCAGTTAAGAAGTTGGCAGCTTCCTAGTACCTTAAAGACATCTTCCCTAAGCTTTGGTAAAGGTCAAATCAATGTTTGAGGAGGGAATAATGCCATTGTCTGTACTTTTGGAAGCATATGCAGTCTGACAATTACATTACTGAGGAATTTTATTTTTACATTGTTTAGGTGTATAATTTGTTAGTTGGTATTAAGGTTTTTACATAAAGAATAAATATTTGGTTTTAATAGAAAAGAGATTTGTGTGAGTATCCATGACTTGGACGAAGCCGATTACAATATTTATTATTATTTTGCAATAAAAGTTAAATTTTTGTTTTTTTCAACATTTGGATTTGAGTAGGCCAACATGTGACAGGTAGGCAGTAGCTTGATCTTAACCCTTAAATTTACAAATGTTTGAACACTTTGTATTATATGGTGCATCATTGAGAGAAAGAAATATATGGACTTGGCATGATTTCATTTTAGTGTTGTCCCACAAGACAGTAAATGCATTATCAGTATTGTTTCCTAGCTTTCATTGTGGTAATGAAATGATTAAATTATTTTTAAATAGGATCTGGGTTTTGATAGCACTTGTGAACAGTTGACCTAAATTGCTAAAATTTTCAATACATTTACTAATGTATTAATTATCTTCCCTTTATTATGGAAATTTGTGGACTTTTATATTTGTATTATGAGGGGTTATGAATATCAACAGTTCTTTAATTGTATCGCTCCTGAGCCTACTTGCATATTCAGTACCCAGTTGTAACCCTTTTCTCTACTATTTTAAGTTCCACTTGAATGCTCTTAATGGCAAGATCACCAAAGATGCCGTTATCACGAGTCACAGTATAGGTACACACACAACGGGTCTTTTTGAATTTCTCTTTTGGGGTCAAACTTGTGCTAATGCTAGACAGTTTTTAATGTAGTCCAGTGTGACACTGGAGGGTTGCAAGACTAGTCTGGTTGATCCTCTGGGAGGTTCATTTATATAATTCTTATCATGAACTACAATGTCGTTGGGCTCATAAAGGCTCTCAATCTGCATCTATATTTAATAAGCCAAGATTCTGCATTGCGGGACTAGGCAGGTTTGACTATTGGATAGTGATCAAAGTGTTAGTTCCATGTTTTGTAACATCCTTTACTAAATTGTAGTTATTGGGTTGGATATACAGTACATCTCTTCACTGCTCACCTAGCCACTGATAAGACCTGACTGGGATCATTGAAAAGTTTCCTAATGGGATATTCTGACTTGAAATAGTTTCCAATGAAATTTGAACGGGTTTCCAATCAGGATTTTCAAAATTTCTTATTTTTTCTGAGAGGGCTTACCTTGGAAGCTCCTGAGCTACCCACCTGGATAACTCCAAGCTTAGCATACCTCACCAGGCTCTTTAAGATTCGTGAGCACCTACCATATACAATCACTAGAATCTGGTCCATTCAAGAGGTGAGGGAGTCTAGGATTACTAGATTAACTCAGGCAAGGAAAATCTGCCAAAAAACTAGTGTGCCTCCAAAACGAGTAAAATATATATTGAGACACATGGGCAACCCTGACAACCAATACACACACACTTGGTAATTAACCAGTCCCAACTGCTAGTTACACTTTATCTCCGTCAGATGACGGCCCAGGCAACCAATGGCTTCAACTAGCAAACCTCCTCAAATTAGACTTCGTTCAGAGCTCCTTGTGTTCCATTTGCCCATCTGGCTTCCCTTTCAGTGAAGTGTTGACTATCATTTTGGATTCTGTCCTGCAAGGACCTGTGTTTGTGCTTGTTTAAATTTTGCTTTTCAAAAATGTTTTTCTTGCCTAGCTTTTGTGTAAGCCTCGTCTTGCTCATCTCAACAGCCTGACACTAGAATTGTTTTTCTCGTTGCCATTAGAGTTGCCCCCGCTTGGTGAGGATTTTCTTCCCTGAGGGGGTAGGTGTCTGGCCTTTAAAGCTGCATCTTCTGTGGGCCTTGTTGCCGGGTAGTGTATGGTTTTTGCTCTTGCAGGGTCTCCAAGATGGGATAGACCTGGGGAAAAGGGGGTTGTTTTTAGGGACATGCATTCAGGTTCACCTGCTTATTTTCCTTGGATGCCTTGCTTGTGGTGCACGAGACTGAAGCCTTATTGTCTCTTGTGGTTCACTGTCTGAATCACATGGGGCTGTACTGTGTGTAGGTTCTCTAATGGACTTTCAATAAGAGGGTTTATTCTGCACTTAGCTCTTCTTGGATTGGGTTGATAAAGTATCTCGATTGCCTCTTTGAATGACCAGATCCTCATCTGTATTAGGCGCTCATGACTCATAGGAGCGACGTAGGTTTTGATAGGAATTGAAGATGGCTAGGAGGGTTGCTTAAGAGCTACCAAAGAGACCAACCAAAAATAGGCTTTAATTACATTAAACAATAACGCAAAAATTTTCAAATGAACCAATCCACAAGGGCCGTGACGAGATGTGACCCTCGTCACGGCCCTTGTGGATTTGTTAATTTGATGCATCACGCTATTGTGATTTCTGTGTGTAAAGATTTTTAGCTGCGTTTTGAGCTTAAATTGGGTGATATTTTAGTAGGTATTATTTTTAATCTGTGCATACACAAGAAATGAAGCAATATAATTAATTGTAATTAATCGCTACCTATTTAATTTTATAATCCATACATACCTTTTCTTTTATATCCTCATCGCTTCAATCTTCACCACACCTTTTCCACCTGTCTTCTCTCCTTTCTAATCCTATTTCCATTTTTATTTAATTTTATAATCCATACATACCTTTTCTTTTATATCTTCATCGCTTTAATCTTTACTACACCTTTTTCCACCTGTCTTCTCTCCTTTCTAATCCTATTTCTTCTTTCTCTATTTCCTTTCACTCGTAACCTAGTGATAAGTTTTTATTGATTTATCATGAATATTTGAATTATGAAGTTTTCATTTGTTTTCTCTTCTCTCTCTTCCTATAGTTCTCTCCTCACTAAGATATATCCATCAATTTCTCTTCTCTATTGCATAGTTATTAAGTTTCTTTACCCTTTTTCCCTACCCTACTCCTCCATGCCCTTCCTCCTTATAGTTCCCCCCCCTCTTCTTTCCCTCCCTTCCCCCCCCCCCTCTACTTTCCCCTCCACTTTCTCCTCCCTTCCCTTCCTCCCTATAGTCCTCCCAGTTCTTTGCTCCCTCTTTTCCTGCTTTTGCCCCTCCTTATTTCATATGTCCTTGATGTAAATCCCACTCTTGGGTCTCCAGTCTCTCTTCTAGAGTACAATGTCTTCCACTTTCGTATCCTTCTTGCTCACCTCCTTTTGCCAACATTTCTTTTTGTCTCTAAAATAAAATAGGCAATAATAGGTAAAGTAAGCACACATTTATTCAAGGTGTTTTTTTTTATAGTTACTAACTTGGTAACAGTAACATTATCAACATAGTATAAGTTCATTACTTCAGAAAACCTGTCAAAGTGAGTACATATAATTATTTTTGGCTTTAGTAGCCTATAGTCATTCATAAGATAAGGATCCTAGATGCCTCCAACATCATGCAGAATATACGGTAAGAAGTGCTTTAAGAAGGAATAGTCCAGATCGTTCTTCTGCATTAGGATCTGTGTACCTCCCTGCAAGAATAGTGAAGGTGTAGTATGTCGCTGGTCATACGGTTATCCTTTAAGAAATATATAATTAAATTTGTGATCTTAAGTGTTTAGTAAACTTTGCAAGAAATAGCTGTGGGCCATTTTCATTTTACAGTTTAATTGCTGGTAAAGTAATTATTAATTGATGTCATTTATTTTAAATTTAGCCTATTATTTCTACAAGATTTAACTGTCAAAAATAGAATCGTAAGACTTGAATGCCCTGTAGCATTAAAGGGTAACATCATTCCACACACACCCAAGAGTTTATTTGGGAGTGATGGTAGCGTTGTGGCAGGTTAAGGTAGGTTGGTAGTTTTGGTGACTGACCCTAAGTGGTTTGTTGGGCCAG